CTCTCGTCTTTAAAAGAACTGAACAAGGGGCTAAAATTTTACGTTCGATTTTCTCAAAACATCATTTTTCGGAATAGCGCCCTGGTGCTTAAAAGCGACCAATTCAAGTCTATGGTGTGGGCACATACGTAAAACCCTGTTATTATAAATAGAGAGTAGGGCAGTGGTACTGACTGAAGATGTCTTTAGGTCATTTCCAAGAGGGGTGGAGGGGGGGATATTAACATGTTTTTATGAAGGTTAGAATTGTAAATTAGCTGATTTATAAATGTCATGCTCATTCTGTGCCGGAACAACATAGGGGGAACTGTTGCTTTTTCTTTCCCCATCCTTATTATCGTCATTTTCCCCTTTACTTATTTAGTATGTTAGTCACTCTCTTGTGACCCGCTATTTCCGGAGTGCCGTAATAGTCGAAGCAGACTTTGTGCTGTTACGGTTAGAGAGGTTAGCAGAGTAAGCCTGATCCTCCGTTTGAACTTTACTGTTGACATCCACCCCTTGGCGCTCATATGACCTTACGCAGTTAGAACCGCCGAAAAAACTCTACTAAAAAAACCCCTGAGTGTTCTAAAAGACTGTAAGGGACCCTCCCCCCCTTGCCTGAATTAGAATGTAGAAAATGAAAGCAAGATGTTCAATGCCTTTATGTCCTGTTCAGTGACACAGAAACTGCTGTTATTGATTCTTTATTGTTTTGTTTTTGTTTTTGTTTTGAGTGAGGGGCCCACGTTTGGCTTCTATCGGTAGCAAGTCATTTGGTTTCTTAACAAACCATAATATACATTTAATGTGGTCGTTACGAACAGTATTTCTGTTGCTTCATAAGCTCATTTTTCGCTATTCCTCTCTGCAAAACACCCCTCTATATTTCAATTTTAATACAGTCCACTACCTTGATTTTCTCTTCCGAGATACTCAAACCCTTTCGTTAAAACCCTATCCGTACGTCGTGTTTTACGATCGTATCCATACGACGTGGGGAACTGAGTGCCACCACTTTCCAAAGAGGAAATGTACTCGTTAATCCGATCCGTATGCTTTGCATAGCAGTCTATCAAAATGAGTTTTTGAGAAATACTGAAGGTTTCAAAGAGATCTTCGTACTAGAAATATTTTAAAATCTGAAGAATATAACACCGCGGGTACTAAATGACTCCAGGGCGTACAGATAGGATTAAGGGAGTTCATGTGCTAGTGAGCATGATGCATTCAGTGTAAGAGTCTGAGACGTTCGTAAAATCACTGCTCGTACATGTCAGGTGAAAAAATCTTTTTGAAGGGATCAAAGGAAGCATCAAGGATATGTCCATTAAAACAAATCAACTAGCATTTGTGTTTTATTTTAGTAAGAGTTTTACGGCACTTGCAACACAATAAGGTCATATTAGTGCCGAAGACAAGATGTGTTACAAGAGAGTAACATACACAAAAAGAAGGAGGAGAGAAAAAGACGATAGATGTTTGATAGGAAAGATGGAGCAAACCACACCAAAGCACCCGCCAACCACCCTTGTACTAGACTTTAACTTACAATAATACCTGTAGGTGACCCTATGAAGTCAGTTACGTAAAAAACAAATTAAGTCATAAATATACAAGCTATATTTTCAAATAAGAGAAAATCAAGTTAAGAGCAAGCCGAGTCCATCATTGAAAAGTGAAAAGTATACTAACAGTGTAAGTCGTGGCGGGATTAATAATATGAGACTTCACCTGTTCCTCTCATTCCATTTGAAGACTTCAACGTAAAAACGACTGTAGTCAAAAACTGAAAATCGTGAGAGTACCAATATTGAACGCTTGTTGACTCATAACTGTAGTTCTGTTCAACTGTTGGTTCATTATTGTTGTTAGATTTCCCAGTCAATAACACTCAAAAATAAACCACTAGTCAAACAAATATGAAGCTACAAGTCCATACGCTTTTAAAATTGGCACCCTCACAATTTCCTGTTCGTGATTACAATCGTTTTTCCTCTGTGCTCTCTATTTGTGCGACGAAGGAATTGTTTACTTCACTTGTCCTTTAACCAAACAATAGCTGTGAAAGCCTAATCAAAGAGCCAACCGTCTCCTGACCTTTAAAACTACACGATAATAAATTCCAAATGTCTCTTAGAGGTTCTAGATAATTCCAAAAATAATTCTTTGGGCAATTTATCAACTTTTCGGACGTTTGGACCAAGAAGGCTGTTATGGCTTTATCTATCTATCTATCTATCTATCTATCTATCTATCTATCTATCTATCTATCTATCTATCTATCTATCTATCTTACACC